AATAAATATTTTTTGTTATTTCAATGCAATTTCTGATCTATATGTAATAGGCATTTTGAGTATTGCAAAGTTTATACTATACATAATGAATGATAATATATTCATCCACAACAAGCACTGCTTATGGTATAATAATCTTTATTAATATGACAAGAAATTTATAGCAATAAAAAAATTATTAATAGCTTAATAATAATTATTATTTCAGAATTTTTGTATCTTTTCTATAAACATAGAATTCGACTATGCCTACTTTTTGTGAATAATTATTAATGCATATTAACTTGTGAACTGCTCTATGATGCAGCGCAGTATTTGTCAAACTAAGGAGTAAAATTAATTTCAAGTTTATGTACTACGATCCTTTCAAAAATTTAGAATTTTCAGAATTTAGAAAGCAATTTTTAAAATATTTGTTCAATTCTTACTAAATTATTTTTCAGTCACGTGTAGTTCGTCAACAGAAAGGTGAACGGAATTTTCATATTTTTTATCAAGTTTTAGCAGGCTTAGATTCGGACACTTTGAAAGCTTTACATTTGCAAAGTGATTCAAGAACGTATTTTTATTTAAATCAAGGCAAGACTGCTATTGTGGTATGTTTTGCAGTTTTGTATAATTTATATTTTTTTTAAAAGTTGACAAATTTTTAACAAAAAAAAAAATGTTTCAAATAATCAGCGCAAGACTGATGTAGTAGAAAACTTCAATATTGCCTTAAATAATAAATAGGTAAATAAATGATTGAGGGAATGGATAAATAATAGTGATAGGCAATTTACAGTAATACTTTTGCATTTTACTAAAATTTTAGTGAATTATATGATGGTTGATTTGCAGGCAAACACTGTAGATGACGTTAAATGTTTTAACGAAGCTTTGCAAGCGGTAAAATGTATTGAAACAATTGGAGCAAATTCTGAATTACAGGTTGAGGATGCAAAAATACTTCATCACATTTTTTCAAGAATAATCTTCAATGCATCACTTTTAACTTATTTGCTTTTAACACATTTATTCATCAAAAACTCAAAAATATTATCCAAAAATTAGCAAATATTAAGTAATAATTTTTATAAAATGTACTATTTTATGATGTAGTGAGATAATGTTTTTAAAAAAATGATAATATCTTGTAGATTTGGAGAATCTTAGCGAGTATTCTATTGCTTGGAAATTTGAAATTTATTGAAAGTAATAAAAACGTAGATGGAAGTTGGATTCTGAATCAAGACGAACTTCATTCTTGCGCTGAGATATTGCAAGTTCAGACGGAAGAGTTGGAGGAAGCACTTTGCAAGCAGGTAGTTTTTTCCAATATTAAGCTATAACTTGTATATAAAATAAGTAACAAATATTATCGGATGAGAGATAAGTAAGTTAAACATCTAAAAAGTGTTTCATGCTGTGAAAGCAAGAGAGATAATTTTGTAAAAATAAAGCTAGGATTTTCTGAGGTAATTTTTGCAGACTTCAGTATGACTTCATTTGATTTCACATTTGCCAAGTAATTTAAAAGTTTGCTATTGCTAAATACTAAATGCTAAATGCTAAATGACGTTACTATTGTTAGAAAAATAAAAATTTTGATTTGAATATTCATTCAATAATACCGCTAAAAGTACTGATTTTAAATATACGTAAATTGTTTAGCCACAAAAATACTTAAAATAATTACTGAAATAATTGCCATGAATAGTGAAAAAAGATAAGTTAACAATGATAAGCAAAGAAATAAAAGTTGTTAACTTTCAGGTAGTTGCAGCTAAGGGTGACGTTGTTGCCAAACGTCACAATGTCAACGCAGCTGAATACACCCGAGATGCATTAGCTAAAGTAATTGCTTTTGAGAGAGAATGCAAATTTAAATTTGTGCAAAAGATCTGCAAAAATTACTAAGAGATATCATTGCGAACCTCTGTAAAAATTTGATAAAATTAATTTTTATTCAAAAATATTTTGCACTGATTTGTCGAAAAAAATACTTATTTGACAAAAAAAAGAACAGCAAAATCTGATAGCATCGAAATCATTTTATTACTGTGTCTTTAATTTAATTAATATTTTTGTAATATTTTTTATTAAATTTTCAATTTACAAAATTTTGCATTTATTATCATTTACAAAATTTTATTGCTATTACTGATTCATTTTAAGGCAATTTATGAACGACTTTTTACATGGATTATTGAAAAAATTAATCAAGCAATTACTGTTGAAAACAATAAGAAAGCGCATCAAAAGACTGTCATTGGAGTTCTTGATATTTATGGATTTGAAATATTTGCTATAAATAGGTAATTAATAATAATAATAATAATAATAAAGATAATATAATTGTTAGTATTATTGTTGCTGTAATTGACAAGATCATTGAAAAGATCAGTTACGAAGAGATAAGACTACTAGAAAGTATTGTTAATAATCATTCATAATATTGACGATAACGGTACGGTGTTTTTTTGGTAAAAATATAAAGGAAAAGTTTGTGCTTTAAATATAAGAACAAATATCAAAGTACTGCAATTAAACAATAAATTTTACGAATTTTTATAGCTTTGAACAACTTTGCATAAATTACTGTAATGAAAAACTACAACAATTATTCATTGAACTGGTATTGAAGCAAGAACAAGAAGAATATAAACAAGAAGGAATTGAATGGGAACACGTAAATTTTGATTTTATCACAAATTCGATTTGGTTAATTCTACAATATTATTCAAAAATAAAGCCGATTACATAGCTGTTTAAACTAATTTACAAAAACTTCAACATTTTTAGGTCCATAATTAAATTAAATATCAGAGCGAAAATAAATATCAAAGTAATACGCCAATTTATATCACATCTTTTTGAATTATCACTTTATCAATTGAAAATGATATTTCTTTTTGATCTTTAAGTAAAGCATTACAATTTTAGATATATATTTGACGTAAACAGTGATTAAGTTTGTTCTTCATCACTTATATTGTCTTGTATTGAGCAAAAGAAATTCATTTTTGCAACTTTATGTGAGGATTTAATAAGCACTTATTCAATTCTGATATTGTAGTCTAAAATTATAAAAATTTTGAAGTTATGGAAATTATTGAAAAATAACTTGTCAGAGCGAAATTAAATTTGAGAAATTTACTTTGTTTAATATTCGAATTATTTAGATCCAATATTTCAACAATAAAGAAATATGCGATTTGGTGGAAATACCTCCTTTGGGCATTTTACCAATTTTAGATGAAGCGTGTTATTCTGTAGGATTTGTGAATGATAAGTTACGTTTATTAAAGTTTGTTTTACAAATTATTGCATATTGCGCATGTTTTATTGTTTTATTTACTCACAACAGTTAGCTTTTCAACTTTTTAGAGTTCTCTTCTGATCATCATCCATTTAAATAGACAATACTTATTTTATAGCAACAACAAATATTGTAAAATTTACATAAATTCCAGAAAAATTATTTTTGTAAAAATTTTCTGGAAATATGCAACTTTTTTTTAATATTTCTTATTTGATAACAGTTTTATAGTAGTGATGTTGAGGATAAGTTTTTTCACGGATCATTATAGGAAAGTGATAATGATAATAAATCTTAATAACAAATGCTCAAGAATTCAAATTGATGTAAAATATTTCAGTGATAAAAGATAATTGATGTGATAGTATTTATTTTTATTTGCATGCTTTGAAATTTAAAATCAATATTTTTTAGGTATTTTTGGGTGAAATGGATAAAGTATTAAGTAAGAACCATTACTACACAAGTCGACAAGTAAAACCGGCGGATAAAACATTAATGTTTGACCGAGACTTCAGGATAGCTCATTATGCTGGCGATGTAACATACAGCGTTATTGGCTTTATCGATAAAAATCGTGATACCCTTTATCAAGATTTGAAACGATTATTATATAATAGGTAATTGAAGCATTTTAAATCCGTCTTAATTCAATTTCTGATTGTTTGCGGCTTTGTTGCATTTTTTGTTAACAATAAAACAATAAAAACTGTTTTTCAAACTTTCCAATGAAAAATTATAGTTATACAATAAAATTATAGTGATATTATTGAATTAGCTGCCAATTTATTTTCTTATTTAATAAAAATGGTTAGAGATATTTTTTATAAGCAAAAATATATGTTCAAATCAACGTATTTGATCTAATGATCTGTTTTCTTTTTCAGCAAAAATGAAATATTGCATGAAATTTTTCCAGATGGTGCTAAATTAGTTACAGAAGTAAACAAACGACCACAAACAGCTGCTACAATTTTTAAGGTACAATTCAATTCATTTTTGAGCTACAATTCAGTAATAATTTCAATTTCATTTTAAGCTTTCAAATTTCATTTTCGTTCACTTAGCTGTTCAAATTGTTGGATTTTGATAAGCCTATTAATAATTGGATATGAAGTCTCATAATGGATATTGCAGAATTCAATGTCAGAATTGGTACAACAATTATACGCTAAAGAGCCTCATTATGTTCGTTGTATAAAACCGAATGAAACCAAATCGAGTACTGTTTTTGATACAAAAACTGTGGAGCATCAAGTAAAAATATAAAAATTTAATGGTGTATTATTTTAATTAAATAGTTATTTTCTGAAGGTGTTACTTTACTGAGATTAGAACATAAATCATAGTTGCCATCAAAATAAATTAGTTATTAGTTTGGTTAATGAAATAAACTATTTTAAACAAAATAAATATTTCAGGTTCGTTATTTAGGATTGTTGGAGAATGTACGTGTACGACGCGCAGGTTTTGCATATCGAATTAGCTATGAAAGATTTCTGCAAAGGTATGAAAACTCGATTTATAATTTTCTTAACTGAAGTATTAAAATTTTTTCATTTGCTTACTAATTGTTAAATCAATTTTTTATATTAAATTAATACACTTATTTTTAATTAAATTAATATTAAGAATACAGGGAGAGTTTAAAATTTGGAGTACTGATATGCTAAAATTATTTGGTGCTAGTTAACTAAGCGAAAGGGAAATATATTTTGAATTTAATGAATATTCTAATTATATGAGTTGAGAAAAATAACAAATTTTTCCCGGTTTTTTTTTAAATTTTGAAAATGCTCTGTAAAACAACAAGGTTTATGGGAATGACAGGACAATCAAACAGATTACATTATCCATGGGTAACTATTACTTTACAGAGTCTAAACATTTATTTAGAAAATGCTTGATTTACGAGGATTTGATCAGTTCATCTTTTATTATCAGAAAATATTTTAAAAATTGGATAAAAGCATCAGTAATGATGTGCTAGAAAGTTATTTTTATGCAAATTTTGAATTCTGTTATTTCTGCATGGAATTTTGATAATCATCCCACATTTGCTATGTTTATCAAAATTCAATACAATGTACTTATATGATAATGATTTTTTGCTATTTAAAGATACAAAATGCTTTGTGCGTCAACGTGGCCAAATCCACGTGAAGGAACGCCAAAAGATAATACAAACATATTACTGGAAAATCAAAATTTGCTTCAAGATTGCGCAAATGGTAGAACGAAGTTATTTATTCGAAGTCCACGAACTGTTTCTATGCTAGAAGACATGCGAATGCAAAAAATGCCAGAAATCATTTTGATTTTACAAAAAGTAAATATTATCTAAATGCTGAATGTTTGTTTTACATTAAGACTTATCCAACAATACTTTGATATAAATATTAACAAGTTGTTTTAATGTGAATACTATTTCATATTATTTTTATTTCAGTTTTTACGAATTTTAAATCTAGAATTTCTTCCTGTAAATGATTCAAGTATCTTTCCAGAAATGACCAAACTGTTCTTCTAATTAAATTGGCGTTTTTATCATTATTTGACATCTAATTCTTAATAATCTATCATTTTTTTATAGCAACAAAATTTGCATACGACTATTTGCTGCCAAAATTATCAGTATTGTATCTTATCAGAAAAATTGTCATAATTTTAATAAATGCTTTGATCATTTGATTGAAAGTTAGATTAAGTATGATTTTTGTCTTGTATTTTCGTAGTTGCTAAAAATTACTTTCATATAAGTTTAATTTTTGCCAGCATTGGAGAGGAGCGTTAGGAAGGAGGCATTTTAGACAGATCAGATCAGTTTATAACATTATGTATCGTTTTCGGAAATACAAACTGCGCAAGTATCTGGCACAGCTATGTGAATATTTTAGGTATGCTTCTCAAATTATTCAAAATATTTACTGGTAAGAATAATATTGTGATGAAATGTAATTCATACGATGAGTCAACATGAATTCAGCTCAGTTTAATGACACAAAATATCAATGCAAAATTAACTTCAAAGATTGACGTGTTAATACTTTTATTTTATAGACTGATTCAATGAATGATTACTTTGAAAATTTCACATTTAGTCTTGGTGTCAACTTTTTATGTAATAAATTAATAGCTCAATACTTCATGCGTTTAGATGAAAACTTGTGCTAACTTTATAGCGATGCTAAGGAACAAAAAGATTTGGGTTCAAAAGTGCAATGGCCTGATCCACCAAAAGGTTTCGAGAGTTTTGTCGAGAAATTAGAGCAGTTGTATAATGTTTGGCGGGTCAAAATGATTATCAAACGTATGCCACCAATTCTGAAGGAATCTTGGACAGAAAAGTTTGCGGCTTTTCGTGAACTTTCTTACAAACGTGAACAGTGGGGCATTTTACGCTCTTGGAAGGGTGACTACTTGAATATGGTAATTGCTTTTTTTTATTAAACTTACCTTAGAAATTTTTTTACATTAATAAAATAATTTTATTCGTTTTTAATCATTTTTGGTATTAAAAGAATCACATTCACTTGTGATCATTTAGAAATTGATAATTTTGAATTAATTTTTAAATTATTAATTTTTAAGCGATAAATTTCAAAAATCATTGAAATTTTTGAAAATATATACAATATAGTATATATGTTAATCAAATAATAATTGATAAAAAAGTAATTAAAATTAAATTTTAAATTAGAAATAAATGAAGGTTAGACATTGTTCAACAAGTTCAATAGACTTAATGTGTATTGTTTTTAAACAGGATGAAGAAATTAAACCACCAGGTCAAAAATATGACTACGTTCAACAATTAGAAAATTTACGACGAGAAAATAATTTTTCTAAAGTTTTATTCTCATCATATATACAAGTAAGATTATCTTGCTGACTGTGAAATGTTTGTAATAACTGTAAATTTGACAACGGACAGAATTATTGTAATAGCAAAATTAACATTATTATTTTGATGGCAAATATTCGTAAAAGATATTCTTCTGCAATATTGACTGACATTGATTGAATACTCAAATAATTTAAGTATTTGTTTTCAGAAATTCAATCGTTACAATAAATCATCATTTCGTGTACTACTTATAACTGATCAATTCATCGCGAAATTGGATTCAAAAAAGTTTAAAATAATGAAAAAGCATTCACTTCAAAATGTAATCATTACAAAATTTAAAAACCAAATTACATAATTAAGTTAAATAAAATATTTGAAATCAAACTTATAATTTATAATATTTGAAATAATTATCAAAATTACATAAAGTAGTTCAAAATCCTTTTGATTAATTTTTTATTCTTAAATGAGTATAAAAGTTCCTGGTTGTTTATTAATGATTAAAGTTTAGAGGTCACTGATTATTGTTTAAACAAACATTATATGCCATTATAAGTTTGTGAATTATTTACTCTAATAGATTGCTCTTTCAGGGTATTCCAGTTTTGGTTTTTAAACCGAAAAATACACTTCAATTTTATTAAATATTAAATTTTTTTCGGAATTAAAAGCAAAATTTAGACGACAATACTTTTGATTAGTACAATTCCCCAAAATATTTTAGCTAATATTTTCGATCAGCAGAAATTCTCGATATACTTTGCATTAAACAAATATTATTCAGCTTACTGGCCTCAGCGTATCACCTGAAAACGATAATACAATAGTTTTCCATAATGGTACAAATGATTTTGTGGGTTGTTTATACAATACTAAAAATGAAGATCGCGTCGGTGAAGTAGTTGGGATATTGTGTGTTCAATACGAAAAGTTTGTATTTATTTTATTTTTAACAAGAGGGAATATGGTAAGAAATTATATACAAAACTACAAATATTATGTTATTTCATATTATTTAACAACGATATACTCATAAATGATTTATATAATTATCTTTTATGCATTTACAATTGCTTGTACAAAAAATCTTCTAATCTCGTGAAATCAGTTCTCCAAACTTGCTCTGTTTGATCTCTGAGAAATCCCGGAACTGAATGCAAATAATGCGGTGTAATATAAAGTTAAAGGATAGAAAGAGATTATAGTGATAATTGCAAATCGCGATTAAAATTGTCCTCAATCATAATTACTGATTGCAAAACGATTTTATGAAAACCAGAATTTATTCAAAAGTTTCTTATAAATGAATTCTAAAAGAATTAATAATACAATTTTCTTTGCCAGTAATTAAGAAAACCAATAATGGTTAAAGTTATATTGCAATACCTGTTATAAAATGTGTTAATTTTGAAAATTATAATTCAAAATGCTTTTGCCTTGAAAAATTGCTAGTCAAAAATGGAATTTTGCAGAAAAAAAACACCAGAAACTATAGATTCATATTATTGACTATAAAGTTATGTCTACAGATAAGTGCTAATTACGTTATAATTTTAATTAAGACAGATTAGTAATTAATTTCAAGTATTAACCTATTTTAAATAAATCTTATTAACAATTATTTAAAAATTCAATTTTTAAATCGGATGACCATTTTCTGTACAGTTCAATATGAACATATAATTGATTAATTTACCTTCAAATTATTTAATTAAAAGAATTTTAGGCAATTTCAAAAGAAATTGCCGGTAGTCGTTGGAAAACTACAATGTACCCTCGGATCAAAAGATCGCTACATTCGAGTTGACGTCAGCGATCAGATTATCGACGGCTATTCCAAATTCCGTAAACATGGTGGTACTCAAATTGATCTGACGTGTCCTGTAGTATCTTCATAAACTTATCCGACAGCAATTTAGAGACCTTTTATAAGTGTCTTACGTCAAAATGATAGTGTTAAATTTTTACCTGAAAGAAGCTTTCAAAATATGTTAGCTTTCAAACTTAAGTTGCAAAATTGCTTAATTGCAACATATACATTAGTTTTGACTTCTTTTATATGCAAAATTTAAAATTTAAGCTCGAAAATTTAGATTGTTTTGAATTTGAATAACATAAATTTACAGCATATTCTATCATTGATTTATAACAATTGTCTGATAAGTTTTAATACTGCAAAACTTATTTAAAAATTTTCTTTTAAAAATAGCATTCTTTCTTCTCTTCCTATACTTAACTATTTATAAATAAACGATAACTTTCGAATAATTTATCCTCGATAATTGTGGTAACTTTCTGCTTATACTTCATAATTTTCAATTCATTCTCGATTTTCCCTCTCAGAGCCTCAAATTAAATTCGTTGTGTTTGAACAAAACTCAGTAATGTAATTGAAAAAATTTGAGTAATTTCATTTGTTATTTATGACTCAAAATGAAATTGCAACAGTTATCAGAACTAAATTATTGTTTTCAAATTAAAATAGCAATTTAAAAACATAATATTTATTATAATAACAATTTAAAATTGAAAAGTAATGAAAATTGAAAAAAAGAGTAATCTTTTTTTAATATTTATTTTTAGAATTTTTGATTGTTTCAAAAATATTATATCACTTCAATTTTTTTTCTGAAATATTCGTAATAATATTTATCATGAATTCTAATTCATATCGCATTGTATTTTAATAAAATGCATTATTTTTATTGGCTTTAATCCGTATTCAAATTTGAATTATGAAGATATACAAATTAAAGCTTATTCATAGTGTCCTATTTTTAGATAAATAATGCATGAATAAATTCTTGAAATAAAATAAAATTTTTGGCAATAAATTATTGCTACACGAAATTTTAAGAAGTGTGCTTAACTGTTTGCCAGAAAATTATCTATTATTCATTTCCAATTCAAAATGATACGTATCAAAACAGTTCATTAAGTTAAATCAAATTAAATCAAATCAAATGAAATCACACAAGAAAAATTCAAAAAAAAATTCTTTCACTCTTTACTTTTATTTTTTATTAATATCAAAATTTTTTACTTGAATTGAAATTAATGCAATGATTAATTGTATTAGTCTCAATTAGATGTTAGAAAAATTTCTTAAATACAAAATTTAAGTAAATGCTAGTATTTAATGAAAAATACAGTAAGTAAGTATATACATTTATTTGTTTGAAGTACACTTTGACTCATTTCTCTACAATGATAGATTAATTGTTGTGGAAAAACGATTAAGCAAAAAACCTAAAACTGACGAAAAAAAAAGATGGCAAACTTTGTGCCTGCAACGATTTACAGTTGTTTATATTTGAAGTAAGAAAAAATTTTGGATCAGTGCAAAATTTTTTTCTAAATAACTTGAGAAACCAGTTTGTATCATTCTAATTTTTCATACTTAAAGGAATCAAATTACTGTTTATCATTTATAAAATTTAAAAAGCAAAAGAAAGTTAAGTTATTTTATGTTTAAAACAACAATAATCTTTTCAACAAGCTAGCTTTTTTATTCTTATTTTTTATATGCGTAAGCATTGCATATACTTTTTATCCATTGCTTATATCAAAATTGTCTTACAATGATAATTAACTTTAGAATTCATAAAAATTTTTGCTTAAAGTTACAATTGATGAATTCACGTTTGTTCATACAGTATTGCATGAGTGAATCTTTCGTTAATCAAAGCAAAACTTTAAAATTTCTGGTTATACTTTGTTAGTTTAAATTTTTCCAATTTATCTTTTCTATCTGATTTAAAGCAATTTTTTCATCCAAAAATTGAAAATCTTTTTTCTGTTTTTTTACTAATTTGATAACAATCAAAGAAATTTTCCATTTTGTTAATGTTGGAATTGCATTAATATTTTATGCATAGTAATAGTAAGCATTTTAACTTAAACTTATCATTTTGCATAGATCGTATAATGTACATGAAGCTGAATGTATTATTTGTATAGAAGGCAGCATTTATTGACCTTCAGTAGATAGATGCATGTGGCCTTGACATTGTGTATAACAAATATATTTGTTTAATTACTGTATTTGGATGATACTGTAAATGTGAATAACACATTTAGATAAAATGAACAATTATATTATTGACATAAATAGATTTGTGGTTGTGTGGATAAGATTTATGTAAAGTAGTGCATTAGTCTACTTTTTTATGCAACAATTTTTAGGCACTCAAATGATGATCCATATAGGTGTATAAAAGTAATATGTGCGGTTATTGCCCCGAGTATCTGATAACTAACTTTTGGATTTAGAAAATTCTTTGCTTAAAAAATTATGCCTTAAAATAACTTTTAAAATAATCTTTTATACACTTAAACGCATTATGGAAGCATAATTTATAGTACTGTTAGGATATCTAATTTAATTAGCTTCATTAGAAATAATCAGTGCAAATATTTGTGATTGCTCAAAAATTTAGTATTTCAATATAAAAAATCATTTACCAATTACTTTTTCGCATTGATGAACAAATAGAAATGTCATGACCTCAACAGATCTCAAGTGTATACATGAGTTCGTGTGTGTATAAAGTGTGTTAATGTGTGTGTGTGTGTGTGTATGAAGTGAATCTGAACAAATAATGCATT